CATGGTCTTAGCCGAAGTTTCATGACTTTAGTTTTAAATATTGACTTTTTTGAGGACTCAATCTTTTGGCATCAGACAGGAAAACTCTCAACTCTTTCCTACAACGTGTCGCTTATAGTTAGCCGAGTACAGGTTGATATTAACAAAAGATAATGGTTAGTCAGAGAAAGTCAGAACAAAATCTTCATAGACTGTGGTCAGGAGAGCTATGGCCTCCCATGGTTACTTAGCCTTACAGACCGTCAATTGACAGATTGAAGGCGATGGCAGACTCAAAGCTGTGGGCATACATCCAAAGTGGATCCACGTCCGCAGCCTCCAGAACATAGCTTTCGATCAATTGATTTGGATCACGGGGCTTAAAGCCAGAGCCTTCCCACCACAGCCTCCCGACCGCGGACGTCCATCTCTAGACTCGGAGCGCGCCTGAACACGGTTGGTTCCACAGATCTATAGCTTGACTGGCCGAAAAGCACAGAATATGCGTATCTCCAGGCCCAGACCACGCCAAGTCAGAAAACGCTATTCCTCAATCTCTCGAAGGCCCAGGTACCCAAACTCCCAGATACTGCACAACAGGCACGCAAATTATGACAGTCGAATTATCGTAAATCCCGTCTAGCCTCTTTATTCTCGGAGAATCTCCGATGGAGCCTTTAAAGCCCTCATTTGAGATATACTCAAAACCCCTCCAAGCGATTATATTAAGAAGTAATGATGGAAAACGGGCGCCGGCCTTCACCTTCAAATCTATCTCTACCGCTCGGATGAACCCCAAATAGCCCATGCTCGCTAGCCGTAATGATGGCAGCTACAGCACTGGACGCTTCAGTGGATAACATCATCATTGGCTTGTGTGTTGGTGTCCGGCCACTCCGAATCTTTCAGCTGTATCTGCTCGAATTTCCCCTGCCCGTACAACAGCAAAACCTGTGGCTATTCGTGAACAAACTCGTAACTATCGAGGATCAACGCCAATTCGCACAAGTCCAAAGAGGCCGGCTGTTTCAATCGTCGTAAGCACACGATTGAGTTGAACGGCTACGCGTGATGCATCTCTGGGCTCATATTCCTAGGTGTCTTGATTGTTTGACTCTATAATAGTAGACACTAAGCATGAGCAGTTCTAGGTATAGGTGCGCTGCAGGCAGAACAGCAGGCGAGTTTAAGACACGGGCAACGAGAGCCACCAGACAAGGGTAACACTGGGCACGGGCGAGCCACAGGCAGTGAATGTCAGCAGGCTTAAATGGATGCGAGCAGAGTGAACCTCCAGGCAGTAGTAACACCGCGCATGGGTGAGCCGCAGGCAGTGAATGTCAGCAGGCCTAAATGACTGCGAGCAGAGTAAACCACTAGACAGGGAGACAGCCGGTAAGCAGACACCAGGCAAGACAGACCCAAGGCAAGACGGACACGGGGCGAGCCCAGGCCGCCAGCGATGAGAGCCACAAGACGAGGGTGACACCGGGCACGGGTGAGCCGCAGGCGGTGAGTTGCGGTGGACCTGGGTGTCTGCGAGCAGAGTAAGCCACCAAGCAAAGAAGCACCAGGCATGGTGACTCGCTACCGCTCCTGAAACAATACACTGAAATTGATGGAGTTGACTTCAATGATGCAACAATGTATCAGGGACATAGAATGATTGACAGGAATAATAGATGTGGTAAATTGCAAAGATGTTCGATTCTGATCGGTCATATTCCGCGTAGACTACCTCGTGGACATGGGAGTAACGTGTGCCACATCACGAAGAGGGTTACGGAGACTTCACGCTGCAACAAGCCTTCCCATTCTTTCTTTTCGCTCGAAACGCGATGGATCAGCAACTCATACAATCTCTATTTGCAAGCATTACAACGCCACCCTCTGTTTCAACTGATATCAAAAGTCGAAACCTTGGATAAACTGATATCTTCTCGGGTTAATCAACAGTACAACTCGGGCAAAAGATGAACACAACCAAGAACAGTCAACAGATTCAAGTAGACAGCTTTGCCGCTCAACATACGAAACATGACTGGTTTAGGGTAGACTTTTGATTTAGGCGGTTGAACACGATCGGTTGTGTTGAAAAATTGTATTCTTTCTCTATTCACGGTTCAAATGTTCAAGCCAACTTGTGCAACCAGTGCTTCCTATTCACAGGGCAGAGCAACTTATTTTCTCATCATCATGCCGAATCTATCACTGTCATACTTCGGTCAAATACCTTTGTTCAACATAAGCGTTGCATCGTTCGAACACTTCAACCGCGTTGCAAAAACCATAATCCAACAATAGAACCAATTCTCTCTTGATACTCAAAGCTCGTGTGAGTTAGACATCAGATCCTTATAAAAGGAGTTTTGTAAGTGTAGACAAGGAATCAGATCGCAAGTTCAGATCCATATGTTTTTTTTTGTGACAATGTCAGAGGACAACGAAACTAAGCTACCCAAGGTTCCCAATTCACCAAAGAAAGTGGTGCGACAGAAACGAGACCGGCGGAAGAAAAGCCTGATACATAAGGCCTATGAATACAGTAAGCTGTGCGACGCTGACATATACCTCGGCATTCGGCTTCGAGATTCCGGGCAAGTCACGACGTTCCAGGCTGATCCGACTGGGTTTTGGTCGAGATTTTCATCTCATTTGGTAAGTGGTTTCCAGCGTGGTTTCCATCGTGAGCTTACTAATACCAGCTAGGAGGGATATTACCCACGGCCGGTACAGAAAACAGACAAGGATTTTGACGAACTCGCTGCTGGTGAAAGTGCTGGTGAAGAGGACAAGATCAAACCACTAGAAGACAAGGCCGTACTTTAGTTGATGCCGGGGATAGAGGGAGATACTGGTCTGTCGGCTCTCTTGAAACACTATACTCTTCGAATTTGACGGAAGCTATCATTGCCCAGGTGATTGCGTGAGCACATAACCTGTACGTCAGCCTCCCTTGCAATGGCTACAATCCAGGATTGGCACTTTCAATAAGCGCAGTGCTAGATCACAGCCGACGACCTCTTGAGTCAGGAAGTAAAGCTATGCTGAGCTCCCAGTTGCGCTTAAAAAAGATTGATCATTATCTTTCTTCCTCGCTTTTGTATCAATAGCAATTCGAGGCATAATTGATGACAATGCCTTACTTTCTTCTTGGACATGCAAATCTGTAGTAGTTCAGCACCATAAAGGCATGTCACAGTACATATTATACTGTACCAGTTATTTTATACTCTACATTTGATCATGATTCCGACGCCGGAGGTAGGGCGGTGGCTACATAAACAAGCATTACTCCCAAAATACTCTTGAGCATCGTTCAATGACGGCTGAAAACAGGGTGATTGGGCATAGCTATCGGACTTGAAGGTTTAGTTCGGCGACAGCTAAGATGACAATCCCAACTGGTGTGTACAGAGGGGCAAGAATCACAAGTTTAAAAATTACAGATCCTGGTACGATGAATGGGAGCATAATCTCCTTAAATTAACTTCTCAGCTTGACATTCTTCGTCGATCGTATTAAACAGCAATCACGTGTCAGAAGAAGCCACCTTGACTTAGATGACTCATCACACACATTGTGCGGAACCCGTATTCAGAGTGGCACGTTTACGCGTTCGTGTGACCCAGTACTCACATTCTTTATCCTCCACTTCGTGCCAAATTCCGAAACCACAAAGATATAGAGGCACTAGACAATATAAGGTGGGCTATGATTTCCTTCGGATCGACATCTTATATTCCAGCTAACGTTACGCGTCATTTCTAGTCTCCCTGTCTACTTCTGAGACCCCCGGGTTCAGACTGGAAAGCACTAAACGTCATTTGCTTCAGTGCTTTGAGCCTTCCATTCCAGTCAAGCCACCATGAATATCTCGCCCTCATCCATATACGTCATCCAATCGGTCACGTTACGCTCGGCCGACACTGGGTCATTTCTGAAATGCAGAAGGTAATTCTGGAGCATCGCAGCAGTGTACGTATTCGGCTTAACCTTGGCAGCGAACTTTTCCGACAATTGAACGATATCCTTCAGCGACCAACTTGAGGATGCTGGTTCCAAAGAACAACATATTCTCATATCATGGGCATCGACAATATAAAGGTGGTCCGAAGGCTTCACAAAGAATGTTAGGAATTGTTCCTTGATATCTCTTCGGGTAGCAAAGTGGAAGGGAAAGACTCGGTCCACCCGGCCTGGGCGTTGGAGGGCCTTGTCAAGAGACCCTGGGTCGTTTGTGGTCATGATCAAGATTCGCCCTTCCTGGGCAGAGACACCATCGATGATATTGAGGATTTCTGAGAGACTCAGGCCACCCTGCGAACGGTCAGAGGAATCTGGACATTCATGGCTTCTATCATCGCCTGACGCATCTTCAACCTGGGAGAGAGACTCGCTGATATTGCGGTTCTCTATGCCGGCCTGATCCATATCCTCGAAAAGGACGAGACATTTCTCCGGTAGAGATAAAAACAAGCGGGTGAGGCTGTCACCGTCGACATTTTTTGAGTTGAGACTGACTGTGCAGATTTCGAGGCCTATCAGACTAGCAATAGCGAGGCACAGGCTTGATTTGCCAGTACCCGGTGGGCCGTGAAAAAGATACCCCCTTCGATATGGAATGCCACGTTTCTGGTACCAGGAACGAGTACGCGGATGGAGGAAGTCTGTCAGATCGTCGACAAGCGCATTCTTAATAAGTGGATCTATAATGATAGTCGAGAGGGGCCTTGGCATCTTAGATGGCAAACTCATCCACTGTCGTGCTGGTCCATCCTTGAGCCCCTGGCTTATGCGTACGCGGTTGTTGTTCGTCTCTATGTTGGCCCCCTGTATCTCCTGCAAGAGCTTTCGAAGGGCATGCTGACTCCAAGCATATAGATATAGCTTCTCCCGGTGATCAGTCCAAGGGCTGCCAGCTTCCTTGTACGGTTGACGACAGAAACCGAATAGAGTACCTCGATATTGGAAGAAGTGAATACCAGGAGGTGCAGGTGTGTAGCGAATAGGTTGAATCATCTTCATTTCCCTAATCTTGATCCAAAATTCCCGTTCGTCCTTCTCGAACTGGACAACCTCTTCCTCAGAAAGTTCCTTTTGCTGTTCGGTCTTTTGATCATCCTTGTCCCATGGAGAGACAAAGCTGACCTCGGTTCCTGCAATTGAGTCTTATGCTGTGCTCAATTCTGGCAACTGCGAGACCCAGCACATCACGTCCTTGTATAAAGCGTCGTGATATCTGATTTGAACTGAGAATGCAAAGGGAAGAAGAAAGTGATAAGGGCGGGTCCAGAATACCGGGAAAAAATACATGCAGGCCACGAAAAGAGCCGCGGGTGCAAGGAGTAAGATCGAGGCATTTGCATGGAGGTGAATTTTGACAAGACGAGCAAAGAAGCTGTAGCCGGGTAGAAGATTTTCAAGCAGGGCCTCAGGCGCTTCTAAAAAAGATACAATTTCCGTTGGATTCATGATTGATAGGGTTGGAAGAAAGAGGCGTTGAAGATGCGGTTCAGTCGATAATATATGATCAAGCAATTGGTTCAATCTATGTACACGGTCGTAGCATTGCGGGTTGGCAGGCCTAATGATTTGAGTACAGGGTAATCTTGATTCTGTTTTTATACAGTATCCGATGGTCCGTAATGTCACATTACGGAGCTTGCGTAAACACTGCAGGACAAGATCGTTTCCTGCTTCTCATAGTGACATTTGTCCAGCTACAATGCCTTTATTCCGAAGGGTTCTGCTGCATACCAATCAAGTTTTACTGTATGCATGCTGTCTGTAAGCCGCAGTATTCTAATTAAGTCCGATCTACTGACTCGCTTGTGAACAGGGTGGATCGAAAACCAGGCTACTGCAATATTCGTTACGGTATTGTTCTGTTAAGCGCCAAAAATTACTTCCAGATTCGTAGTTATCACAGAGTACAGCCTTTTCGCATGATCCACAAACACCAAAGACAATTTTCGTGTCCGCATTGGCGACAACAGCGTCCAGAGGGACCGTCTCCTCTTACTTCCTTCTCACAGACACAGCAAAATATCAGGCTTGTAGCGCGCATTCGAGGATGTCGACGAACAACTTTGTTTCCTTGAGCTGTTCTTCCGCAGTACATCTCCTGGAAACCAGGTTAGTATTTGCAAATTCTCGCCAGGCTGTTCTGCCTTACCTGTTCATTTAACAAGATTTGACTTGGAGGCATCGTTTCTCTTCCTGTTTATTCCCTGAGGCTTTCTCTTATCAATGTGAAGATTCACTTTAAGAATCTGTTTGTGCTATTGATGAAGAGCTTACTCGAAATATGGAAGCGAGTACCGGGCTTCAGCAGCTTCACCTCGACATAGATAGGAGAGAAGAGACACAACAAGGAAGATAAACCAACAGCACAATATAGCTAGAGCAAGCGACATACTCGAACAGAACTTTTGCTAAGACTATCATTGATTGCGAATGAATGAACCCGATAGCTTGACTCTTTATAGATCATGCAAGACACTGTATAATTCCCGACAACAGCAAGCACCGTTATACTTTTCAAAAAAGGGGTGAAGACTATCAGCGACTAGGTACATGGCATCTACATATGCAATCTGAGTTTGATCCTTGCTCAGACTGACAAATCAAGAGCCCATCACTTGGTTTCATCCTGAGGATCCTCCAGGCTGACTCTGGTACCATAGACCGGGCGTTATCAAGATTAAGCTGCAGTATAGATTGATCGAGTGGTTCGAGATTGCCGGCTTGAACTTTGATAGGACAGGAAATAGTATGACTCTTCCCAGGGCTTTTTCGAAGGCGAGCTGAAAATAGCAAGTATGGCCCATACTCGTTTATGACAAGTCCGCGATAGGCTTCAAAAAAGGATATACCGAATTCGGTTTCGGCTTTGACAACGTTAAGGAGTTTTCTTTCATCTTGTAAGGATGTCTGAATCATTGGATCGATATTTGCATACCCAGATGCAGTTGTGATTGTAGGCTCAATTCTCCTTGACGTGGTTTTAGTGGTTGGTCGAGCGAGGCAAAGTTTCAAGAGTGCAAAAAAGCTTAAGCAGAACATATTGGACGGTCGACAAAGACTGTAAGATCACATCTGAAAACTGCATGCGCGATTCAACTTTCTAGGAGTTGCGGTGAGCATGGAGAATCTCGACTTTAAGAACTTACTGATATTTCCTTCATGTGGGCTTCTTTATCGCGGCTTTCGGCAATGGTGATGAGAGCGTTACACTATGCAGCCCTGTACAAGAGTAAATTATTCTTCAATTTGATGTTTAGGAGATACTATTGAGGAATAACCCGAAAAGTCAATACAGCCGTTATGCTAAAGTGCGAAGGCAGGACGCGGCACCGTAGTTCCAGGAAGCATGCATATAGATGGCTTATGTTTTAGTACTAGGCTTTGACTCGGTAGAACTCAGAGCTGCAGTTGCCAATAAAAAGACGTAGGAAAGATGATTGATGATGAGGAGGAGGAGGAGGAGGAGGAGGAGGAGGAGGGGGGGGTGGAGAATCATGCATTGCCTACTAGTTCGCTGGACATTAGGACGGTTTTGGTTAAGAACGCACCAATACATAAAAACCGCCAGAAGCGTAGTTTCTGTTTAGGTCCTAGAAAACTTGGGTACGAGATGAACTTGTGAACTTGTTTAAAATGCCAAGAACCGGTGCTGTGCGTAAACCGGTGCTGTGGCGAAAACCGGTGCTGTGCATAAACCGGTGCTGTGCCTAAACCGGTGCTGTGCGTAAACCGGTGCTGTGCTTAAACCGGTGCTGTGGCGAAAACCGGTGCTGTGGCGAAAACCGGTGCTGTGCATAAACCGGTGCTGTGCGTAAACCGGTGCTGTGCGTAAACCGGTGCTGTGCGTAAACCGGTGCTGTGGTGTAAACCGGTGCTGTGCTTGAACCGGTGCTGCTGCTAATCTGTCCTTTCTGGCTTAAGAACAGTTGAAAAGACTACAATGACAATTTTCTTTTCCAATCTCTATTACCAAGAATTAGTGTCGTACATTGCACAAAATTATTGTACACTGGCAGGTGTCTTGTGTTGAATTCTCACTTGTTAGTAAAAGTTGGGTTAGGATTTAATCAGACATAACTGCCCCGCTTCACTTATGCCCAAGGTCTCGCTAGAGAGTAGATAATCACATGACTCATTCACCTCTCTTGCCCCTCCAGCGGGGCAGGATGTCAATCGCGCATCAAACAGCCACGTACCAACCGCAGAGTAGTCGACAACAAGCGTTAATCCAGAGGCACTTTACATTACTCCAAGCGTGTAAGGGACTATCGATAATCGCAGCTATCCTTGGAAGGTCTTATTACGAACATCAACAAAGACGGAAAATGGCAGCGAGCGTACCTAGCAGGTCCCATCTTAACCTAGAAAAAATCAGCGATCCTCTAACCGAAAACTTACTGGCCAAGCTGGCTTCATGGTGTGAGACTGCCAATTTTGCTCAAGAAGGAGAAAACTTGGAAAAATGTGTTGATGGGAAACTTGCGAGCGTTTGTCGGCAGCTACTCGATACGCTGGACCTTGAAGGAAAGGTATGAAATTTCTTACATTGTATTAAACAAATCTGACTTAGCAAGATAAAAAATCGTCGCTGGGGCTATACAGTACTACGAACCGGACCTGGTCCAGCTCGGTTTCACAACACAGCCGGCCCAGCGTACCTTCTTCCCATTCGCATAATAACAGGTTCTCCCACCGTGTCAGGGCTGCAATTACAACCGGGTTGGATACTTTATATAACACACGAAATTGAAGTTGGACCTGGGCTGGATGGGCTTTTCATCGCCGAATTATGACCAACCCAATGCACTGCGATACCAACACTTAGGAACTTCCGAGATCTGCACACGTTCGATTGACCATATGTCCATCACATGTACGGGCGAAAAATGTGTTTTCGCAAGGGAATTGCTTCGCAGGCGGTTGAGCTGCCGGAAAAGGTTCACTATAAGGGTATACTAAGGTTGCTAAGTCAAAGGCGATCGATGTCGGCATATCGCTATGAGCAGGGTCCAAGTTTGAAATATCGAAGGGTTGAGCCGGAGTCGCAAAGAAGCTGTTGTCATCCATAACTGCAAGCTCAACAGTTGAAGCTATAATGGGATCGTACACTTGCCTTTGAACAAGGCTTGATAAATCAAAACTTGGCACAGGCTCCGATGTCGTATTCTTTTCATGTGCCTCCACGAGTGTTGAATGGTCGAACCTTTCAACAGAGTCAATCCTTTCCAGTGTAGCGCTTTGTTCAAGGAATCCATTTTCCGGAATTGTTGAGGAGTTGGATGTCTTTGACGAATGCGTGACGTCCTCCATGTTCTCGCCTGTATATATGGTGAGATACTTCAGCGGCACCACCATGGAGCTCACTAACTGGAATATCCATCTTCAAGACCTCTGGTCGCAGTGACCCGTTGGATCTCTTGAATGGGTTGGGTTATTTTGAAAGAGTAAGATGCTAACTCCGTCAGGTCTGTGGCCTGAATTGCTAGATGAAGTTTGCTCACATAGTATCCCATCTTCAATGCATTCCAGTCCCCGCGCTCGACATCGATTTTTTGATAAATGCTCAGCCACATTGCGTTGCTGCCGGAATTTTTTATGACACTGTGGGCAAGGGTACCTTTTCAGATCGTCTGGATGAAAGTCTTTGTCAGTCGTTTTGATGAATACGGATAAAGGGGCACGCACGCGTTTGCACATGTCTCTTGTGCGCAAATGATCTGGCAAATCGGCGAGAGCAGATATCGCAGATATATCTTACATTGGCATCTTTTCGTGCACCTGGAAATAGGCGTGCGTAGCTCTCTGAATGCCGCTTACAGCGGCTACTGAATTCCCATAAGTGTTCACGGAGACAATCTTTCGATCGTGCACCATAGTATCGTCGTTGGCAGCACGATACTGGGCATTCCAAAGGTATACTCTCAGCACTCATGACCCTGGAGGAAGTCTCTGAAAGATAATCAGATAGCGTACTGGATCAATGGGATACAGTCGCAGGTGGAATTAGTGACTGTAAGGATGTCAAAGCGGTGTTGGTGCGGGGTTCCGCGCGCAGTACTGCACGTGATCTTGGTTAATCTCCAGACTAGTTTGACGGTCACACAGCACCGGTTTTTAGCAAGGATAGCGTCTTAGCATTGACCTACTATGAATACATCTTATTTCGGGATGTGTGACCGGTGCTGTGAGGTCTTGGAGAACTAATCATATCTAAGCTTGGCGCGCTTCTGCGTTTATTCTAGGGTGCAAGCGTAACATCAGCGAAAGTTTCGACTTTGTTCATGATACTGGACATCTTACATCCTGCGCAAAGGAGCGCTTGTATCTGCTAAAATACCGCTAAGTGCTGCGAGCTGCAGGTGATATCACAGCAAGTGCATCCTCTGCTTCCCACTCGTCATTAAATAGATACTTATATTGCAATGTCCTTGTAGGGGAAATGCCTCGACGTATCAGCTATATAAGAGTATTCATTTGTCCTCACTATTTTCTATGTACACTTCAATCGTGTCTTTTCCCATGCCAATTTCCTTCCGCGACACAGAACCAGACTCAATATTTACCTTTCATCTTCCCAGTTCTACCATTTGACAATGTCACGCCGAGCTTGGAACAGTGTGATGGAAGCGATCACAGGCCGGGGTTCCAAAGTCTGGGAGAAACTTGCTAAACCGACAGTCGGGAGAGGCAAAACTCAATGGCCGAAATCAGCAAGTGATTTGGAAAATCACGGTGTCCGCTTCGATTATGATGGCACTATTGAAGAGAACGGCCTTGTGTACCACAAATACCAGGTCCAGCCGAATGCTGGAAAGATTCCCAGTTCATGGAAAGACTGGAGAGATAAGAATGGGGGGACTCATGCCGTCATCGGAACCGTTAAAGTCAAGCAAGATGCGACAAAGGACGACGTTGATGAGGCACTCAAGTCACTTGAGGAACAGCTTTGAAGGCACTGTGAGTCATCATTTCCTCAAGCCTAATCGACTGAAATTAATTCTGGTCTTTGAAGTCTGGCACTGCTACAAATTGGCATGCATTGTTCTCGGCGATTGTCGAAAGCTAGAATTGTGGGTTTACGATTGATAAGGGGATTCGAGTATCTGAGCGGGGTTGGTATGATGGGCATTTGAATGTATCCACTCTTTGGCCTAGCCTTATAACTATTTTGAGATTGTATGGGTTTTCTTCCCGATGTAGCCAAACAACATATGTAAAATATGGAGACAAACGGGTCAAAACAGGCAAGGTACTAGATTGCCAATGTCGGCCGGCCCACATCAATCAGCCATCAGGCAGACGACATGCGGAAACATGTTTTCCCGACACGGAATAATTTCCCTTAAATTGGCCCTGTGCAACGGACTCCCAAACCAAGTCTATTCATCAAGCGGAACATATCCCTTGATCCCTTGATGCTCCTCTTTCATGTCGCTTTCTCGTCTGACCGCTAAAAGCTCCAATATGAAGAAATGTTCTGTCAATACGCGAAAATTTCTGGGCTCTTTACGGCTTCAAACTTTTCGCTTTCACAAGCTTGGGAACCAACAGCATGCGAACGCCTCGACAAGATGTGGGCGAAAATCAAATGTCACACTCCATGATGAATTTTTCCGGTACACTTCAGGGAGATGGATGTAAGTGCTGAGATACTAGACTTCTTGCAAAAAAACTGACGTTCTAAAGATTCAATGAACATCTTCGTCTATCAGAACGATTCCTTGAGTTTGACGTTTCTGCACTTCAGGATGTTATCTCTGCTGCATCCGGCCGTTTGAAATCCGATCTGAAAACCTTTGTTAAGCTGTCAGAAGGCGGTTTCAACCGCGTGTTCGAGGCCACTTTCAGCGATGGAAAGTGTGTTATTGCGCGACTCCCATATCCAAGCACAGTACCAGAACACTATACTGTAGCGAGCGAAGCGGCAACGTTAGACTATCTTCGCCTACATGGTATTCGCACACCAGTGGTTTATGGGTGGTGTTCGACAAAGGCGAATCCCGTTGGAACAGAGTATATCATTATGGAAAAGCTGGAGGGTACCCCACTCGGCGACAAATGGTTCTTAATGACACCAAAGGAACAACATAAGGTCATGAAGCAGATAGTCGAATGGGAAAAGCAATTGATGTCACTGCGGTTTCCTGCGTCTGGAAGTCTTTACTATACCAGAGACCTTTCATCGGACAGCAGGATACAACTCGCTGATCCCAATGATAGAGCATTCTGCATAGGACCGACAGCTCATTATAGCTGGTGGCATGACAAAAGGGACTTACTGAATATCGATAGAGGACCTTGTGAGTGAAAGTCTTCAAGAACTGTATTGTTGACAATACTGACTACGAAAGGGTTGTCATCAATTGACATTTTCCGAGCAGCTGGCGAACGTGAATTAGCTTGGACCAAAGCCTATGCAAAACCTCGCTTGCCCTATGACCGGCTCTATAGAGAGATTTATCATTTCAAGCACGTATCACCTGATAGCCATATCACCGACCTTACCAACTATCTTCAAATGGCACGCTGCTTAGGGTATGCAGACAACTCAACTTTAAATCGACCTGTTATGCGCCACCCTGATCTTCAGCCAAACAATATTCTTGTGTCTGAGACAAATGATATTATCGGACTTATAGATTGGCAGCATTGTTCTATTTTGCCTTTAGGTATTGTTGCGGGCATACCAACTCATTTCCAGAATTATGGCGATCCCGAGTCGGAGATGCTGAAACAGCCCGAGCTTACACTTCCATCAAATTATGACTCTTTACCTTCACCCGAGCAAGCATCTTTATCAGAGATTCGACGGAAAAGGCTGGTACATTTTCTTTATGCCGCGTTTACCAAAAGGCTAAATAAGGATCATTATGACGCCATCTTCGACCAGTCTGTCATTCTTCGTCAACGGCTATTCAAAAACGCTGGTACACCTTGGGAAGGAGACTCAATATCGCTGCGAGCAGAACTCATTCGCTCTATACAGAATTGGTCGATAATTGCGCAGACCACCGGTCCAGAGCAAATTCAGAGTGCTTGCTCGGTTGCTCCGGTGGGTTATTCAGAGGAGACTATCCAGGAAACACTGGACTTAGATGCTCGCCAAAAAGAAGCTGATATTGCGATCGAAGAAATGAGGAATATCTTAGAGGTTGATGTTCTGGGTTGGGTTCCAAATGATGATTATGATGCTGTTAAAGGAATGGCTCATAATATGAAGACCAGAATGCTTGAAGCGGCTGAGACTCCTGAAGATGTTATCGGTGTTCGAGATCATTTTCCGTTTGATGACTTCGATGAAGTGGCTTGAGGCATTGAAAGGATTCTTTAGGTGTTCATGTCATTTTGACGACAATACTTTTGTTCGCGACGGCATTAGCACGCTCAACTTGCCATATTATAGTATCATTCGGAGCATTGTAGAATCACCACTTTCACAGCAGTATAATGCCAGTATTGTTATGCTGTAGTCTTTGATTGCCTCCTACGTCTCTATGAAAGACAATTAATCCTACCATTTCAATACCTTCATAGTCTCTTCGTCACTTGCCCTAATGAAATCCAGCTTCGAATCTCATCTCATGAGGAAGACCGAGAAGATAGATCCGAGGAGATGGAGAACATATTGCATCCCAAGGTATTCAGAACTGCCGGAGTTACCTACATGGTGAAGAGCGGCACGATTATCAAGGAATAAAATGATGTACATCAACTTACAGCACTTTCACGCAATCGTCACAAGTGAAACTGAATCACCGAGCGAAAATTGTAGCGCAGAAAGCCAGGAAGGATGCAGGCCATTTGCCATACTTGCGCTTGTCCTGGTCAAGTGTTTGGAAAAGCGGGCTGTGCTACGGCCGCAATTCCAATTAGCAGGGGTGGATGAAGGGGCCACGTCAGCCGACCTGAGAAAGACCTCGAAATCGAGAGTAGAAGGGGGGAAGTCTTGTTGCAAAGAAGAGAGGGCGCCGAAAAGGGCGCTCCAGCAAATCGCAATTGAACTCTGTAGCCGGTCGACAAGCTAGTCACGTGCCAGTGGGTGCTTAGAGCATACCTAAATCTACTGGTGTCCGCCAGCATCGGAAGTAGCTCATAACCTATATCATTCTCTTTGGTGCTATGGCTTCTCAAGCAAAAGAAAATAGCTACCCGCCGCCACCTCCATCTCCCCCGCCACCCGAGAACCTGAAGTCGAAGATATCTCCATATGTCCTAAAATTAAGAAACGCTCCTCCCGATTACTTCTACCAAGCACCGATAAATTCGCCTTTTGTTGATCTACTTGCAGCACCCACTGGCCCATACTTCTTCTACGGCACACTTGTCGACCCTTCGATGCTTGCTGAAGTCCTTGGCTTAGACGAGAAGCCTAAACTTCGACCTGCTTACATACTCGGTTACGACTGTAAGATGTGGGGTCAGTATCCAGCCTTGGTCGATGCGCCTGGATCAGTTGTTCACGGTTTTGTGTATCATGTGCGCACGGTGGAAAGTGGCGAGAAGCTTGCGATGTATGAGACAAATAATTACCACGCCGAGCCCTGTCTCATCAGATTTACGGATGACCAGCGGCCAAAAGAGGATATAGGACATACGTTCAAATTCGCGGGAAATGTCAATGATCTGAGTGATGGTAACTTCAGCTTAGAGCTCTGGTTGAGAAGGATGGGTAGGCAGACTGAAGCAGACAAGGTGGATTCTACGGGTGGCAGTCAGTAGTCGAGGTCTTCCGGTTTGCTTACTGGAAAAGATAACGCCTCGATTTATCTATAGTTGAGTGGAATATGCTTTATCTTTGTTACAACTATATTTGTGCTCAAAGGCCGAAAACTCTGCTATATTGGATATCATCGACCACTAAAATCAAAAGTCCTTAATTATCTCGTTTCGCGTGATAAAGCCAAGTGATTAAGCTCGCATTGGTGAACAGGTTCCGATCTAAAAATTATTCCAATTATACGGTGCAACCAAGTCACGTGCTTCTTTCCTAGCATAGCAAACAATGTAAACATTCTCGATCCATGATTCCTGTGACCTTTCCGTCAGAAGTGGGGCAAAACAGATACGGGCTAGCTGAGTTCTTATAGTACTTAAACCTCGCTGCTCCCTACTGCTCCCTACTGCTCCCTACTGCTCCCTACTGCTCTCTACTGCTCCCTACTGCTTCCCCATTGCTCCACTTCTTCATCCATTACGGCCTCACTATAAGTTCGCCCGCACTAAAAACTGGAGCCGTTTGAATAAATTCAAGATGAATATGATAGAGCGCATACACGAAATGTTCGAGCAATTGAGTCGAGTCAAATCAGTCCCTAACGACTATGTCTCACTAGTCGAAGAACGTCTCACACTAATCTGCAGGCCTCCCGATCGTCTTAAGCGTATGGAAAGAGCCCGACCAAAAAAAGAATATAATTTACACGATCGGTTGAAACGAGCCCGGCGGATTTACTTGGAAGTTCTTGAAGTGTTCCCCGGCATCTTTTTGCCATTTATTATGGCTGTGTCTCCTAACTCATGCCGGAGCTGGAAAACGAGCGACGTTCGGAAAAATTTACAGAGCTGCAAATCAGCAGCATTGAGTGGCGAAGTTCTAAATGACCTCAAAATTATAGCAAAGAGAGTCGGTGTTTATCAAACCACTACATTCAAGAACATTCTGGACTTGCTTTCCACCTCGGGTAATTCTGTGTTCTCTTGGATGAGTTTCCTGCTGACGTAATGTTGTAGTGCCTTTGCCAAAGCCAAAAACGAACACTGAATCAGATGGGGCATGGTTCTATAGCACAGCCGATGTGACTAGAGCCCGTCATTTTCTGAGTAAGGACCTATACGAAGCATTCGAGAATTCTCCAAGGCGGACGCGTGAAAAGGAAAACCAACTCTTGACATCAACGCAGTGCATACGTATGAGCTTCCCTCGGTATGATCATCAAGACGCAACTGTACAATTGGACATCGGTTTTCATGATTCAATCGTCAAGGCTCTGTTCCCTACAGCATGGGAGAGATTCTTGACTGTACATGGGACTGAGATGACAAACGTGGAGTCTTCCCAATTAGCCAGGGAGCCATCAATTGCAGAAATATGTAAGAGGACTTAGCAGAAAGCTTGAAGCAAGTTTGTGACTAACGTGTTTAGATGATAATGCTTGCTTCACATTTCGAGGCGCATCAATGTCATCAATCCCTATTATCTTTGGATCTTCGTTAAGTCAAGGCATCGAAGAGAGCCAACTACGGGCATGGGAGATCAAGAATTTTGTCCTCAGGACAACGGACTGCATAAGCTTAGATTTAACGCGCAGTCGGCCCTGCGAGGCAACTGTTACTTTACGTGTCGGGTGGTCCCATGGGATATTCATGGCTACCAAGCTTTATGCATTTGATGGCTAATTGTGTCATGCGAACCGGTGTTTCCCTCTCTTGATCTTGACTGAGACCTGCTTTGGTAGACCGTCCATAAATCCGCTACCTGTGGTTGTCCATATCGTGGCCCCGTTCTCATCGTGAAATATTATCTCCTCACACTCGAAGCAATATAACTTCCGCTCGTAATTCTCCTGTGCGATGTAGTTGATAGGGTGGAGAATACAGTCATCAAAGTAACTTGGGTCAACTGGGAGAGGTTTCCATCGCTCGACCTACAATAGTTAGCGGAGCAAGCAGCAGGATTTGGCAGAATACAGACCAGGACTTTTTCAGTGGTCATATCAGGAAGCCGTGCTTGGGAAGAAGTCGTGATAAGATTTCGTTTGCGATAAATTGTTAAGTGTTTTGTTCTTCTTATAAGCTCATAGTTTCGTACTTTTCCAGGGCTACCACCTGGGTTTCATCTTTTGTGAAGATTTGCAGCAGGTCGAGAAAAATGGAGGGGTAGGCAAAGTTCGGCCCGAAGTGTTCTCCCAACTTGTGGCAAAAGAGAATGAAACGCCACATTTGTTCAGCCACGCAGGGTTTCCTTGCTTCTCCCTGTTGCTCCCTGTCGCTTATATTGCTCCCTATTGCTCCAGATATTACTCATATTTCTTCTGCCGCTCCCTATTACTCCATACTGCTTCCTATTGCTCCCTATTGCTTCTATTGCTTTCTATTGCTCCCTATCGCTCTCTGTCGCTTCTACCGCTCCGTATTACTCCATACTGCTTCCTATTGCTCCCTATTGCTTCTATTGCTCCCTATTGCTACAGATTACTCATATTTCTTCTACCGCTCCCTATTACTCCCTATTGCTTCTATTGCTTTCTATTGCTCCCTATCGCTCTCTGTCGCTTATACCGCTCCCTATTACTCCATACTGCTTCCTTTTGCTTCCTATTGCTCCCTATTGCTCCTACTATTTCTAATCGCTCTTTGTTGCCTTTGACTGCCACCTATTTCCACTACGTCTGCCTCATAAGGAATAGATCAGTATCTCGGGTTCACTTAGATTGAAGTTGCCAATCAAATCAACCGTTGTCGTAAGGCTTCTGCTAGAGCCGTCAAAATTACCATTATCACTCGACACGTCGATCAAGCTCGAGCCACAAATGTTAATCTCATATGCATACTTTTCTCGAGTATGCCGGTACCCAGGTTCTTCTGCATATTTCAATACTTCTTCAATTCCTTTTTGGAATTTCAACCTAGGATAGTAATGGACTGCTTCTCCACCTTCAGGTCCTGGAAAGGATTCAAGAAATTGCTGACCTTTACCAAAGCTTTCAGTTAAATAAGCAAGGTGTTGTGAAGGCCAATGCCTGTGAATACAGTCTGCCATACATTAGTGTACATAGAGTGATACGTGACTTGTCGACATACACCAATAGTTTGGTTTGGTGCCCTAGAAAAATGGTGCTTCCGCGGTAGTAATCTATCAGTAGATCTGAGAGAGGGAATGGATATCGATTGGAATTTTACATCACAATTCACATGTTCTCTCATTCTATTTAATCCCTCCAATTTCCTGGAGCGTTGTCTACTTAGCGCGGCTTTGTAGTTCTTCATCAAAGCATAATATGATGAACTTAGAAAAACAGCTAAGGGCCTTCCAAGTGATTATTCAAAAGTCAACAATACGCGTCGTTTGTCCTCAATGCCTTCAAGGATTTCCCCGTGCCGATGTCCTCTACCGCCACTTTAAGACCGAGGGAGACAACATTCATAAGGGTCTTAGTATGCGAAAAGTCGATTTCAAAAAATTCCTCGACTGCTACCAAGAGGCTCTGGGGGCTTCAGTTCCCGCCGAAAAGCTACGGTATGGTTTCGAGTGTTTTGAGGTCATGTTTGTGGTTGAGAATTATGCCAACGATGCTGAAAGAGGTCAGTCGGAGCCACGAAAAGACATAATATCACTTCGAAATAGTAATGCTAACTAAACCTGCTATTTTAGCTCGACTGAATATTTCCTCTCAGTCATCAGAGGCGTATGGAAACGAATTGTCCGCTGAAGCATAAGAGTTAGCCTTTTTCCATCTCGAACCGGGGCTTTCGAAAGCCAACCACAACAATGAATCTTCATACCAAGACGGCTTTTAGCATTAATGAACCACATATTTCGACGTGAATGAGGAAAATTCTACTAGCAAACAACTTTGGATGGTTTCAGTGAAGGCTCTAGAGATACCTCCTAATTTTACATATGGAGACTATGTTGGATTACATAGAGTGGAACTCAGCCATCTTGACTCTCAAATTTCTTGACGTACCTGGGTAAATGTTTCGCTGGTTGCTTCCCACAAAACTTATATATTCACTGGGAAGCTCAGTTGTTGCTTTTATCACCCGCCATATCTCTGAGCACAGTGATTGCCGGGAGTCCTTGTAGTATATGTTCCTCATTTTAAGCGTCATTCCAAGTCAAATAAGAAGCGAGAAGAGAACGAGAAGTGGATCTTCTTCCGTTGATTGGCCGAAAGGATAATGTATCAGTATGGTAAAGGCGAGAGACACAGAGGTTCCTTTCCGCACTAGCGGAAAGTAGATCCTCGGCAGGTACCTGTTGCCAATACAGTAGTACCACTTAACAACATACCAAACACCGTCAAACTTGACGAGGAGAGGAGAGAGGCCCACCCTAAGATCCTCTACCCCGCAGTGCTTATCCTCCCCCTTGACTTCATTCCCTCCAATATGTCTAGCCTCCAGAGGCAATTCAATACACAGAAAGAGGTTCTTCGGCAATCAACGATCAAGTATTTGTGTCCAGAATGTCTGCGAGGTTTCTCACGACCAGACACTCTATACAGACATTTTCAAGATGTTAAAGATGAGGCCCACAGAGGGCTAAGTCTGAGAAAGGATGACTACAACCAATTCTACTCGTGCTATCAAAAGTGCCTCGGAGCTTCGATCCCATCGAAATGTCTGCCCAAGCCGCCACATTGCTTTGAGTTGCAGTATGTCATCGAACACTATGGCAAGGATTTAGATAACGGTGCCAGTACAACATCCAACCATGGTATGTGGGTGGAAACCAGGCCCGGCGGCGACATACAGGTAGTAACACTATTAGTCTGAAGTTTCACCGAATTTTCGCACACGTCCTGTCTTTCTTGATGAGTCAGTACAACCTGTTCCAATTTATTACGATCGCCAAGCGCGTGGCTACAGTCACCGTCCACTGCATGATGCTAG